CACAGCCCGCAAAAAGGTCAAAATATGGACATGACGCATGCGCAACAACAACTCGGAAGATTTCGGGAAAAAAACAGGCCTCTCGATGGTCTGTTTTTGTTCTGAGATAACTCAGGGGACCCCTGTGAAATCTAGGAAAGTTTACAAGGATTTTGCTTTCACACTCATCCAAACCTGGTTACAACTTGTTACAAGTTGTTAATATTTGCAAAATAGCATCAGTGTGAAATGGGTATTAGTGTGTTATTTCATTATTACATTTTTTTCACACAAAAGTGGCCAAACCCCAGTCCCCCTCTAGATTATCAGACCTTCAAATTGATTCAATAGGTCTACAAACTTGGCACTGTTGCAGTATACAGTAGCTAAGAACCCCTAAAATACAGACTTACTCAAATCAGTTGTCGTCGGGCTTATTGCCAGTTGATATGCATGGATGATATTTTCATTGTCTCTATTGACTTTGAAATCAATAGAAAATCTGAAATATTTCATCAATTGTTCACATGCATAGAGCCTATAACACTACCTAAATATATCATATTAATTGTTTGTTGTGCTTTCTGGTTTATAAATTCTTAATGTACACAACAGGCCCTTTTAAGTGACATATTTAGTAATACTGACTTTTTTGATTGAAAAATCTTGCATTCTTCACATTTAGGTTTATATATTTCCCTAGAATTTATCCCCCCCCCCCCCCACAAATGGCTGTAAACAAATCCAATGGAAGCAATATCATTCTCAACACATCCTATGTTCTATTCCATTATCCATCTGAAAAGATGCTCATGGTGCATCAACACAACAATGTACTTCAAAGCTTAAACTACCCTTGACTCAATATTTTTATTTATTTATTTAATTATTAATTTTAAAACCTTAATTGACATGGGAGTCAATTATTTTTAATGGAGGACTGGCCCCAATAAGCAAAACAGCATCATTGTCACCCTGGGTGTATGCAGGCACTCTGTTTAGCAACATGCTGGGCTTTGGTAGTTTCCACCATGGGCTTATACCTCGGCTCTGCTACCAAGGACTTATAACTGTTACCAGGATAGGAAGCTGGCTGGTTTAAGCCGTCTAACGGGAATTAGAATTGTGTGTGGTATTGTTATGCTAATGACCTAGATAAGCATTATCTGCACATGCTCAGAAAAACAAAAGTTTCCTTTGCCACACTGCGGCCCTGCGTATCGGCTAGGCATACAGCTAGGCCTGCCAAGGATTACGGTACGGTAAAACAAAGAAAAGGCATATTAAAATAAAAAATTGGCATTTGTGAGCAATACATTTTAATTTTATATAAGTAGTAAGTATATGAATAATTTTAATGCACTAGTTAGTTAATAACTTCATTCTAATTTGATTTGGGTCTTTTTTTTCTGCATTTTTATAAGCGGTTACACATGGCCTTGGCTAGCCTATGTGATGTTCATTGTAATACTAATAACAAAATCATCAATTTAAAATCAAATTTGTGAACATACTTGCCTTATATCTTAACTAGCAGGTGATTTTATTGGTAGATTAGTTTGTTTTTAAGTGTGTAAGTATGATTGATTTGCATGCCAAGTGAAATTAGTACCCTTATTTTGCTTTGTTTTACCGTACCGTAATTCTTGGCTAGGCCTAGAGCTACGCCAAGCCAATATGCAGTGCGGACCGCAGTGTGGCTTAGGAAAGTTTTGTTTTTCTGAGCATGTGCAGATTGTGCTTATCTGGCTCATTAGCATAAAAATAACACGCATAAGGCTAATTCCAGTTAGACGGCTTAACCAGCCAGCTTCCTATCCTGGTAACAGTTATAAGTCCTTGCTGCTACTGTGTGCGGTAAAGACAATAACTCAGTCTCCAAGCCGGGAAATAAAGCTACTCCATGAACTAGGGTTTTGAGACTTTCCCACAACTGTTACACCAACCATTCATGTACTTATCAAGAGTATAAAAGAGAAATTGCTGCTTAATTATTTAAATTATGACATTCTGTTTCAAATCAAGGTATAGCTTTTTACAATTATCTTATCTATTTTTTTTTTCTTTCAGCGGCGCCTGAGGTTATGGCTCCAAGGTGAGGATAATTTCTGCTTTAATTTAAAAATATAATCTATATTGTCGTCATCATTATACATTAGCCATCGTCCACCTCCTTTAACCCAAGAATTTAAGTACAAAAAAAACCTGACCAACCAGCCGATCCTGACTTTCAATTTCCATCGTAGGATATGAAACACCATTTTTTCTTTTTGCATTTATGTGGATTTGTCAAAGATATACCTGTAGTATTTAGTTCAAACTCACAATAACATGGCATGTTTCATCATAAATATGACCTTATAACTTTCATTATAATTATTTAATTTATTTCAACAATGTTCTGTGCTCGGGTATATATAACTCAACAACAATACAGTCTCAAAAATCCAGGGTCCTCTGTTCTAATTGGAAAGGACACCTTTCAATCTAGTTTTAATCAAGTTAATATTTTAAGAATGGAAATAATCCCTGTGGTTACAGTTATCAACCAAAGTACATGGGGTGAGTGATGGTCAGCAATTAACTCTATAATAAGGCCATAGTACTAAAAAGAAAACCCTGACCAACTGGCCCTGATTTTCAACTGTCATTGTGTTTTGGTACCACGGCCACTTTTTTTTAGCCTGTATGTATGCATTGCTGACTTCTCTATGCCTGACTAACAAGTCTTATTTAGTCCAAATTTGGCAATACATATTACAACACAACAGGTTCTATCATGCATGATTTATATTTTATATCGTATGTATCTGAATTACAATAGGGTAGGGTACCAATTTCGTGTGTGCCGAACTATTATTATGCATTATTATTATTATTATTATTATGCAATTTAGTACTATATAAAACAGATGGCTCTCAGAACCAAATTTACCATCAGTTTTTAACATGTATAGAGCCCTGTTGAGATTGTTAAATTTTACAGTATTTTACAAAAACATAATGATATGCCTAAATATAGTCATCATGGCCATATGTGACTGGCTCTGGCAAAACCAGCCGTTTTGTAAGAAAAATTCAAAATTGAGTGTTTGGTGTTTTTAGATTCTGTAAGAATTGTTATTTAAAAACAGTGGTTATTTAATGGAAATTGGTTAAGTGTTAGTGAAGTTATGAATATTTCATTCATTGGATATCAGCTTTTGAGAAGACAGCTTCCAAAGATTCCAAAATCAATAGTTTATTATTAATATTTATATTTTAAAAATAATTTGAATATGCTTTCCAGTTAGATTTTGTTATTGATATTTTGCAGAAATGTTCTTTAATATCTTCTTTTATAAAATGCAAAAAACATGAAAATGTTAAAAATTGTCAAAGAAAATTTTATAGTGTGGACAAGCTTGAGCATTAAACTACAATAGGTAGATTTGGATTCATATTCGGATTCATCTTTATTTTGTAAACTTTATTAGCCAGCAACTGTCTTACAAGCACTGAGCAGAATTCATAGTTTTAATTTTAATCATTCTATATACTTGTAAATCATTTTGTTGTTAGAAAACTGTATAATGTCCCTTGTAAATTGATTGATTGATTTTTTTCTGATAGTACCGACGGCTGCAAATAGAGCTGGAGGACGAATTTGGAGCCGAAATCACAGTTGTAAGTTGTTTTTAATATATAACAATAATAATAATAGTGATAATAATAATAATATAATAATATTAATAAGTGGGATTTGCAAAGCACATAATACAGAGGTCTCTATGCGCTAGAGTGCAAATATATAAATAAATGAATAACATTAACTACTAATTTTTTTTTTTTTTTTCGGTGCCCCTATCTAAGCTAAAGGTGAAACTAACTCCTGCCGGACACCAGCCCGGTATTTCTGAGCCAGGGTTTCGGTGGTGTATTTTGCAAATAAAGTCAAGAATTAAAGTAAATTAAAAAGATGAATCTTAAACCAATTTTTTAAAATATCAAGAGAAGGAGACCCACAGACAAAAATAGGCAAACTATTTCACACCTTGGGAGCAGCAACTGACAATGCTCTTTCCCCATACATTTACATACGACATGGATATAAGAGGAACAAAAGAACAAATTATTAATTCATTAAGTATTTTTATGCTAGAGACATTATCATTCTAAAGTGTACAAAGTAGAATTAATAGATGATATTATATCATAGTATGACAATTTTATAGGGCATAATAGCTGCCAACAAAATCTCTACGTGCCCCCCCCCCCACATAATTACCCCCGTCATTGGATTAAACAACGTGGAACATTACTCATAACCAGCTCAGGGTTTTTTAAAATATTATTAAGGGGAAATGAAAGAACAAATGAATAATTTATGAAGTATTTTTATGCTAAAGACATTACCATTGTGAAATAAGACTATTTTTATTTTATTATGATAAATTAACATAAATTTATAATATTACAGGCTTATATAGTGCATAATGGCAACATGGTCTCTATGTGCCTCAAATATTTACCCAACATTAGATTAAAAATATTTTGAATACATACCCATCTCAGTTTTCTTTTATATTAAAAGGAAACAAAATAATAAATTAATAATTTATGTTGTATATTTATGTGCTAGAGACATTGTCATTGTGAAGTATGATTGTTTTTTATTATAATATTTAGTATAAGTATATATTAATATAATAATAAATATATAAAAACATATATTTTATTATAATAATATGAGAGTCTTATATGCCAGCAACTCCACTCCCTAAACCTCATAATGAGATTTAGTTAGATTTAAATTATATTAAATTTTATTAGATTTAAAGTAAAGCATCTTGTCTATAATTATGCTTGTCTTGTGAAAATGATTACCACCTTTGAGTGGGATATTGATTAATTCACTATTGGCAGGCCTTGGCTCATGTGCTTAAATAATGAATAGATATAATAAGTACTTTATATTTTAATGAAAAAGGTGAGTGTATATGTATATGCAACTTGATTGATGATGCATTTTAAACGATAGTGTTTCTTTTCAATTTCAATAATCAAATTATTTATTTTGCCATGTTTGTATGCAGACTGGAGAGGGCACTCCTAATGTAACTGGTTACCTTGAGGTGTCTGTCAATGGGAAGCTTGTACATTCAAAAAAGGTAAATTTATAATCAAAATTCTTTTTATCCATTCATTTATACATGAAACACATCGACATGTAGCAGTATAAATATGTTGAATTGCGTCAATTTACAAAAAATGCCATACCTTATATATATAAATTAATAAAGTATTAAAATGCCATATTTACTTATATTAATTAATAAAACCACACTATTGAATGAATTACAATTTTTTAAAAAGTCCATTATAACTGTACACAAAAAGGATTTTCCTATTAAATTGATGAAAATACAACATTTTCGATAATTGTTTGTAAAAAAACAATAATGGATTCAATATATGAATTTACCATTCGACCTAAAAATTTACTTATTTAAATTAATATAAGGGAGTCATTTTATTTATCCTAATTATATTGATGATACAATTGTTTAGAACAATTATTACATCACTATTATACAAAATTATTATTCTACATAAAAAAAATACTTAACTTTATATAAAAAAGAATGTCATTATTTACCAAAGCCAATCAATTGGCACATCGCACAAATTTGTCACATAAAATTTAAGAGTATGGACATAGCTTTAAAGTGTCCATAACACTACAGTAATGCTCTGTCCACGCTGCCACGTTTTATGTGACAAATAGACTTTTAAATTGATTAAATAAGCCTTTGAATCCCCTAAATTGTTATATTTTGGGGGGGGGGGGGCTATGTCCCCTGGACCACTTCCAAAAGGTTTAGCGAGGCCCAGCCATGCCCACTTTTTTCTCGTCGGAGATATCAGCCCCCCGTCGCGAACCATGGACCCCTGTTGGGGAAATCCTGTCGGCACCACTGCTATATATTGGTATACAAAAGTTTTTTAATTTGATAGTGTGGACAGAACTTATTGGTAAATATTTTCTTAGCATGTGTCCTGTGCTACACTTTGTCTCGTGTGATACAGGTATTGGTTTGTATACAATTTTCCTATCCTGTTAGTTGTGAGTGAATGCATGCATAATGCTAAGCTGGTGGTAGCCACTGTGTATGCGCTCAACTGTGGACATCCCTTGCTCCTCGGTTCAATTACTATCATTGCTCTCCTTGTTTTTCAGCTGGAGGGCTGGTAGCGCACCGTCTTTCAGATGAGAGGTTTAAGCCATTGGTCCTGTGCACATTATGGCCCATGTGCACGTTAAAGATTGCAGTACACTCTTTGGAAAAGAGTAGGTGATTATCTCCCAGTGTGCTGCCCAATCACCACCAGACAGACCCCACTAAAAGTGTCTTCTTCAGACTTTCATGGGTTATTGTGTTTGCACCAAATATATCCATCCAATAAGTTATTATCGTTCGATTATTGTTGGTATATTCTTCTGTTTTCGATAGTATTATAATAATAATTGTTTTCATGTTCTCATTTTTAGAATGGTGATGGGTATATTGATACTGATGCCAAGCTGCAGAAGATAAAGGATGCCATTGAAGCAGCTTTGAAGTGAGCCCTCTTTGTTTTCATCTTGCACATGAAGGTCAGTTAAATGTCATAAAAATTACCACTATTATGTTAAACTCTTGTAAGTTTCTATTACTCATGCTACATATTGTCAGCGATTGTTTTTCAGTTATTAAAAAAAACTATTACATCTACAGTCAAAAACTGTACTTAACTTCGTTGGTGTGCTTAACAATTTGTTGGAAGGCCAAACTGAGTTTTGACATTTGAGGGCTGCAGGGAGCAGTGTAGCTTCCAGACAGCAACTTTGCCGAGTCGAACTGGTGTTAGCCACTGAGTGTGTGCAGAACCATGAAGATCTCTTAGTCCCCGGTTCAATTCCCATTGATGCTTTCCGTATGTTGTAGCTGGAGGGTTGAAATGCAAGTTTCAATAGCCTACTGTATTTTGGATGAGACATCTAACCCTTTCTGGTCGCAAGGCGTCGCGACGACGCCCTATTTTACCATAATTCATAGCAAGGGGCGTCGTACGTACGCCCTATATAGATTTCTTGATAATTATTTTATAGCTAGGCTGCCCTCTATAGGATTTTTTTAGGGTGATGTATGAGTATTTATGTAGAGGGCCTCCTATATTCAGACCAAATAAAATGCCTGCGCCCAGTAAAAACCCGACATTTAGTGTAGATGATGTAATTTCTCAGCTTTGGTACAGCCTCAGGCAATGGTAATGGGGCAGACTGGAAAGGGTTAAGCCGAAAACTACCTAATACTGTAACTTTTTCCCCTCCAGTTTTTAACGACAGTGCCAACACAAAGATAATTTACGTTTATTGAGCTGACTTGGTTAGTTTGCAAATATATTTTATATGAGAGTATCTGCTTATGTTTGTTTTTGTCTCCACAGCTAAAGATCCATGATGTGATGCAATCAGGTTGTCTCTGTATGATGGATGTGGTTCAAAGGTTAATAAAGCTAGATCATATCTTGAGGATTCCGAGTCAGCGTGTTTTCATCAGATCGTTACCATTAACTTCATCTAGTACTATTTGATATTCTTTTAAATTTGGTTTGAGGTTTTTGAAGATTTAAATCATATTTATTACTCCCCAGTAGTACTTTAATAACCTTGATTCTGGTGCCAAATTTTATTTTCGGAAATGCTCTTGGAAAATTTTCTTTTCAACATATAATTGAATGGCATGTCTTTTAAGAAAAAGAAATAAATGTAGAGAACAAAATTAATAAACCACAAAACATTATAGTAGTCCCACTGCATGAAAATATTATTAAATATATTAGTTGCACTTAATATCACTATTTTACTATTAACTGAATATGGTATGAATTGAGAAAATTAAAATAATAAGATGTGTTATGTTGAAGTTATTTTAATTTCAAAAATGATTTACATAATATTAAATGATATATTTATTATTTAATTTTATAAACAAAACCTGTTTTGTAAACATTGGCAGTCCCCAAATAAAATCTTGTCTTGTATTCTCTTATCCTTTGGTTTTTTGTTTTTTTTTACTTGTCTACTTAAATACAGAGATTATTTAATACTACATATATATACATTGCATGTGGGATGCCAAGATAATGGGGAAGCAGCTCTACACTAAAAACAAGACATCAGGCAATACAATGGCAATTCAACCAAAGATACTAGAAACACACAAGATAGAACTCTCACAAGCAAAATTACAGCAGATCTTAGAGCATATCTTTTATGCAGATGCAGACTACACGGCACGTTTCTCTTTCCAATTTATGTCCAGACCAGATCCAGATGTACACAGTGCACCATTTTTTGTATTCCCACCATGAGTTTCGGTGATAAGGTTTATTTTCTGTGGAGAATGCTTTTTTTGTTTTCTAGTATCTTTGATTCAACTGAAGGAACTCATCTCCATACATGATAGGCTTTTATTTGTGATTGCGAATTTCTACATGCCACACACCCAGTACATGGTTGGCTGATGTAAAGTTTCCTTGTTCACTCAAAATGCAAGGAAACCAAACTATTAATTTGTTGATAAGTTGGCATATGGAACTAAATGTACCTTTGAATTGCCTGGCTTATACAGTACAGTATATACATTCAATCTGTTTGTGCGCTTAAGTCTTAGAATATATAATTTTATTTCATTGCTTGTCATAATCATCCCTATAATCAATAAAATCATCATTATTATTATTATTAGCATCATCATCACCAGCATCATCATGGGAAGATTTAATACTTGTAGCTGTCAATTGACATGTCATGCTACATTTCATCCAATCACAGAAATGGAGTGAACAGGATGTTTTTATTTGGAGGGTCGATAAGATGAATACTGCCTTGTATAACTTCATGACCAACTGAAATAACCTTTCAGAGTGTCAATCAAACTCAACAACTGACCAATCAGAACACAGCTCTACAAATACATGTGTTGTCCAACGAACGCACATGTTTACATACATTTATGCTGTTGTTTCAAGTGGGACCTTAGCAGTAATATCCAACGGACGGGGGCTTAGCGGAAGGATTCATTAAACCCAAACAGCATCTTAAAGCAGTTACATTTACACCTTGTATTTCCAGTTATGGATCTATCAGTACATGATATAGATATATACTTGTGATGATTAATAACGTTAATTTCTTGCTGCTTGTGATCAAACACGCACTACTCTTAAACCCGTTTTCCTCAACAAGTTGCGCATAAAACTGTGCAGACGACCTAGGAGTTCGTGCGCGATCATCACTACTGAAGTCGACACGGTAGAGACCATATTTGAGGCTGTATCCGAAGTCCCACTCAAAACTGTCCATCAAAGACCATACAGTATAACCAACAACGTTTACACCATCGTCTTCAATTGCTACAAATGTAAAACAGACAACATTTAGAATTTCAAAAGAATACTCTGCTTTAAACAAATATTTTTTGAAAGGAAAATATTTTAAGATTTTCTATTTCTGTTTATACTTTAACAGAAGACAAATTTGTCTTGAATGAATTCCGGAATAACTACCCCAAGCCTTTTTTAACTACCATAGTGGATTCGAACTCTTTTGCAAAGTAAAATGAATAGTGTGGGATTCGGACCTATCGTCAAGATTGAGAGCTCCAACAACCACAGCACAATTCCCTTCTTAAATTTCACAATAATACCTCACGAAGTAGCAAGTAGATAAGACTATGCACTGTACAGTAAAAATCCTTCCTAAACTAAACGAATTTTGCAAAATACTGTAACGTTTTCTGCTGTAGACAAACTGTATTTCTAAAAGTTCACATAATGAACTTTCTGCAGTCTCCTAAAAAGACGATTATCTTTCACGAATTTCGTGATATATTTTCCAAGTTCTAACAGGCTTTTAACATGAATATTCGCTCGAACATACAAAAATCTGTGTTATTTAAATTTTACCCACTGAGAGGCCCAGACGAATTTATGCGTTCTTCAACAAGAATATCAATGATCTGAGATTAAATAAAGTTGGACGGACATTTAGTGAGTTTGCCAGCAATCTTAGTGAAGATATGCCAATCGTTCATGAATCAGTATACGTTCAAAGATCACGATTGCTGGGAGTTCTAATGAACCAGTGGAAATAAGAATAAGTGAATAAATATGTATATTAAATGGAACAAAACAATGGAATGTGTATACTGCAAAAGCAGGGACTATCATAGTTTAAGTGCCATAGTCCTCTCGCACACCACGCATGTCTACCACATGATAAAACACTTTCACTTACACTGAAGTCGCGTCATATGTCGTTTCCTACACTATAATTCATATTATAGTCCGCGCCTATATAAAGAATATTAATTTTAAGAATATGGTTTTACAGAGCGCTCAAGGACAATAATGTTGGAATATATATCGTTTTTTTTTATACCAAGGACATGTATTTCTTCAATATCGTACCTTTAAGAACCTCGTTGGTGTATGCTTTGATATAGTTTACTCTATCTTGGTCATCAATGGCTCCAGAAGTGTCAACACCATTCCCTGTGATCAGGATGGCTGGATTGTTGTATTCCTTTTTGATCCATTGCAATGCCTTACGAATTCCCCAAGGGACGACTCTGTTAGACAAAGAGTTCGTTTTCGGCCAGGAAGCATTGACTGATTCTTGGAGATTGGCATCATGCGACCATGAAGGAGTTACAATATCATCATCTGGATGCATCAGGACCGATGCAAGTTTTGTAGTGTAATGACTTATTCCAAAGAAGTCACTTGTTTTAATAATTCTGTCCTTCTGCTCTGTAGTAAACTCTGGGAGTCTTGAGATGTTGTACCCTTGCTGAAGACTCTGTTCGCGAATAAGCGTCTTCATGACGTCAGGGTAATCCCCATTAAGAAATATTGGATGTGCAAACCAGCCAAGAAGAAACTGGCGAGCGGTTTCCGCTGCCGTTACGTCAGAGATATTAAGAACATTTTTTGGTTCGTACCAATCAAAATTCAAGTTAAGTCCCACTTTCCCGTTAAAACGTCGTCGGAAATGGTCATCGTATGTGTGATACGCTAGTGCATGTGCGCGTATCACATTATTAGCACATTGGTATGGCCCAGACCCGGGATCACCAGTACCAGGTGCTAGGCTACCGTTCCCATAGCCATGGACGCAGAACATGTAAGGTTCGTTAAAGGTGATCCAGTATGGCACTCGGTCGGCGAAATTTTGAAAGCAGACAACAGCATAGGTCAGAAAAGCAGATAATGTTGCATTGTTGATCCATCCCCCTTCCTTCTCCAGTGCCTGTGGCAGGTCCCAGTTATACAATGTGACTATCGGTATAATATTGGCTTCAACCAAATTGTCAATTAAATAATTATAGTAATTTATACCTGGAATGCTTATTTTGTTGATTGATCTACCATCGGGTATCAACCGGCTCCATGAAATTGACAATCGATAGTGAGTAAGTCCCATCTCCTTAAGCATTCTTATATCCCTGTCAACATTGTGGTAACTATCACATGCAATATCACCGTTGTCATGACGATATATTTCATCACTGTTGTGAGTGAAACTGTCCCAAATGCTCTCACCTCTACCACCTTCATTCCAAGCACCTTCAACCTGATACGCAGACGACGCAACACCCCACATAAAATCCTCGGGAAACTGCCCAAAAAGGACCGAATCCCGTTTGGTGTCGTTGAAAACATTTGGGTACACAAATTCTGCGGATAATTTGCCAGTTACCAGCAAAATATAGAAAGTTATTAAACTGCAGCCTTCAAGTTTCCTCATTTTCGAACAGTGAACTTACTCCAAGAACACATCTGTAGAATACGGTACCGTAGTGCTTCCAAATGCAAAGGAAATAGGAGTGATTATAAAGGTGTGTTAGTCTGTTTCCGCCGTGTTTTTATTTTATATCAACTGCAAGGTCAATGATCAAGTTGAGATTAGACTTAGGCCTATATACTGATATTTACACAAACAGATAATAAAGCTTTAGTGCATAATTATGTATCGATGTATCGATAGATAGTAGGCCTACCTGTAGCCTTTCGAAATCTGCGATTGAATTGGATTGATAACAGATAAGAGTGGAATGTCGTATGTAGGAGGCCGCGGGGGCGGGGAAAGAATGCTACTTCTTCCCTAACTCTTTTCTGTTGGACAAAATATGCTTAGGTGACAATCCAAAGGAAATTAATACGTATGCTATCCGAAATTCGCATGCCCAACTTATTAAACTGATCGATAATTCAACACCAATCAGTGTAAAACCATTTTCACACATCAGGATTTTTTTCTACGATTGAGCAAGATTTGTTATTTTTTTTTTTTAAATCACAGTGGTGTCGTAAATTTCGTAGTCAATTGTAATTCACCGTAGCGCATCGCACTGGATCTTGATGCCATGCCATCGTGATAGAGCACGATTTTTTTGGGAATGTTAAAAAATCGTAGCTATGAAAAAAATCTTGGTATACCGCAGCAGCATCGTGTGAGTGTCGTAGCGTTGTTGTCGTCGTTGTCGTGGCGGCGTCGTAGTGGCCACAACACATAGAGCAGCAACTTGCATAGGCCTATATTGCAGATTTTTGACAATTGTGAAATATCAACAGCTATGGCCACAATGACAACATTTAAATATTTGTAAATTGCGCCTCTTTTGTAATGTGATTAGTTCAATCAAACAGGCGTCTTGGTAATTCGTATTGTCGTCATGCTTTCCTCTTCGTAAAAATCGTAGGCTACTGACGTCTTAATACAATCTTGGTGTTCGTAGTAAATCGTGAAAACTAATCGGCTGTCGTAACTCTATCTTCGTAACAATGTAGTCGCATTTACTGCCATAATACATTTCGACGGCGTCCTGATATCGTATTGACAAAACGTAAAATTCAAACTTTTTGAATACCATGGTAGCAAAAACCATGGTAGCAAAAACTATCGTAGCAAAAATCGTGAATGTGTGAAAGGGTAGATGAATACACGATTAGGACCGTCTAGTGTAGTAGAAATTATCGGATTTAGTAATTTTTACTCCAAAAAAGAAACTCCTACAAATTTAATCTATAAAACTGTTTTTGGTTACCAAAGGACCACTCAAAGACCACTCAAGAGCAGCAAGAGAACAGAGGTGGCGTCAGCGGGCCGCCGGAGAAGTGCTGCGCTTTGAGATAATCTATGCTTTACCCCCTTCTCCCTCCTGTTGGGGAAACTCAACACATTTGAGAAAAAGTTGTGACAATACATTGCGATATGAAACCATGTCCCCACCCCAAAACAGTCATCACCGGCTGTACGGTACGTACTACGTTTTCAGTTTGTGCATTACTATAATTTGTCTGAACAGAAGAGAGTTACAAGTACAGGTATTTAAACAAAATGAAACGAGATCTTGCATCACAATAAGTAGGTCCTAATTGTATGGGAGATGCATTGAGATGGGTTATTAATTAATTCATCCATTCATTCATTCATTCATTCATTCATTAATTCATTCATTCATTCATTCATTCATTCATTCATTCATTTATTTATTTATTTATTTATTTATTTATTTATTTATTTATTTATTTATTTATTTATTTATTTATTTATTTATTTATTTATTTATTTATTTACTTATTTATTTATTTATTTACTTATTTATTTATTTATAATTTAATTTACTTATTTATACTTATTTATTTGACGTCACTGAATAGACACAACGAAACAAACCCCAGTAATATATAGGCCTATCTACCAACGTTTAAACTAAAAGCCCACGAGGCTTCGTATATAATAGGCCTACCGTATTTATGAAGTCATTAGAATATATAAAATAAATATTTCGGAGCGTTTTTGTACACAAAACTATAGAAACTTCATTTTTGCATCCTTCGCAAACACTTCGAAACTGCAGGTTTTGCATCCTAAAACTATTACAATTAAAGGATATTTTCAATATGTGAACACATTTATAATTATCCGATTTGGGAGTTTCTGTGTAGGCCCCATATTTTACACAACAAAACCGTCTTGAACTGAAGTTTCAGACGTTTCAGATTGGTTTCATTATTGAAACGATACCGTAATTTGCTAAACTTGGCCCACCATGGATTGGGGCATCTCTAGATGGCCGAAAATTTTCACTACCAAATGTTCCGGTTTTCTGCAAGGTTGTAAAGAGAGGAGAATAGTACTGTATTGGGACTGTAGTAATTTTGTTGGGCGCCCTCTATATTAGCAATTTCCTCCGATCGGGTTTCAGAAGACAATACAGACTTGGAGCGAGGGGAAAACAAATTTCATTTGGCAGGAACACAACACAAAGGACTGATACGCAAGAAATTTATATCAGTAAAAAATGGGAACATAATACCTCAGATATAACACATAGTTGTGGAAAGAAACAGCTTCAAGATGTTTAGAAGACGTAAGTACAACCACTTTATTTTTTGGTTATTAATTGGTTAGGCCTGCTTGAGAGTATTGTGCTAAGTGCGGAGGATCAACAAGTTGTAACTCAAAAAGTTTGTTTTTACATTTCTCATCAATGGGTGGGTGGTACATGTTTAGCTAGGTACTGGTAGTAGTAGTATACTAAGAGTGCGACAGCACGCTGAACTTCTGATTTACTCCTCACATTTGCAAGCCTCTTCGCCTGCTACACTTACACTTATATTTATTATAAAACAGTTGATTTAAAATAGAAACCAAATAGTGATTCTTTAAAAACCACGTTGGGTAAGTCTTGCCCTCAATTTGAATCGCCTGTGTATTGACTGTTATCATCATGTCTGTGAGTGCCACCGATACGAGGGTGACATGTCACAAATAAATAAATAATAGTAATAATATTTCATGCCCAGCTAAACTGTAGCTAGGCCTTCGATCGATTGAAGAGATACAATGGGAGATGATTTTGTTTCCACACAGCCTTTTCATGTGGAGGTTATTGACTTTAATGGACACCTGTCTTAACAATCTCAATAGGTTTCTGTACAAAATAGTAATTTTACCATCACAGAATACTGTAAAGCTTGTATGGTACTACAAGATAACTTGAAATACTTTGAGAATGTAAAGTGCTAACTAGAGTAGTTAAGTATACTTCAGCAGTACTTTACTACACTTCTGTAGAACCAGGTACCAGGTTGGTAGTGTAGGCCTGGTGATCTTCATTCTGCCACTGCCCCAGGCCATAATACTGTCACGTCACTAGCAACTCTGAAATTGCATTGAGAGAGATGAGTACTTGCTCAACAGAAGGCCTTTTTTGCTTTGCATTGCTCCATTATCTAGTGAAAAAATGAGCTAAAAACAGGTATTCTATATCAATATATAACAACATATAAAAATATTTAACAACATATAAAATCTATATTAACGTACAGTATGTGCCATTGTGATTTGGTGGTTGGGGTGCACAACCTACCAATCCCAAGAGTCTAGGTTCATTCATGCACAATAAAAACATCTCCATTTTCAAGCCTCAACAAGAAATAATTGACTCAGGCTCCAAATGTTCACCTTTGGTGAATAAATTTTCCTTGTTGATTTTATATTGTATAAAACAAACAACATGTTTGTACATAAGTTGAACATATAGGGCTACATAAAAAAAACATTCAGTAAAAATAATGAATTGATAAATTAAATTTCTGTACTTGGGTTAATTCATTGTTAACATAAGGAAATTTCAGGTCAATACAAGTCACATTTTAAGCCAAATATATTGGACATTTCAAGACAAAGCAAGGGAGCTTTTCAAATTCAAGTCAACACAAATGACATTCCAAATCAATACAAGGGAGATTTTAAGTCAATGCAAGGGACATTTCAATTCAACACAAAGGGCAGTTAAGGTCAGTAGAGTGGGCATTTAGGTAAATACAAGGGACATTTCATCATAAACAGTAAATTAGACAATTATTTGATGGAGGCCTTTTTCTAAATGTCTGGTTTTGAAGGATATCCCAAAGTTCAAAGGAAACACCAATTATGTAGTTCCTGTTTCTCCATTCTTTGTTATCTTTTATCAAGTCTCTGTTCCTGAAGGATATTACAATTTATTTTTTTTTACTTTGAGATTGAACAAAGTTGGTAATATGCATGAAAACAAAATTTGTGTTTGCTATAATAAGTTGTTATTGGTATTTATTATATTTTTGTTATTGATATTTATATTTTATTTGAATAGATTGAAATATTGTCATTTATGAAAAGGATAAAGCTAGAATAACCAATAACTTACAGTGTCATTGTGCTGAATTGCATATGGGCGTGGTATGTGACTCAGTGGCAGCTCTAGCATA